AAACAAAATCAGTGAACGAATTTCCTTCTCCCAGCCGCCCGTCCGACGATTCCTGCATTTCACCCGACAAAACAGATTTTGAGAGGAAGAAGACCTGTTTCTACGGGACAAATCTGAGAACTGATGAATAGTGATGCAATATTTGTTGATACATTTAACTAAAAATCGATTTCTTTCCTAATCAATCTATCAAATACCTTATCAGTCATTCCACTATCATATTCATTCACCTATTCAAAAGTTCAACAATCTTAAATACGCAATAATCTCAACATCCTTCCCACTTTTCTTTCATTCGTTCGATTCATTTGTTTTATTGCAATCACAATCTATATCGTCAAATAATCGTAAACATTTTTGTCGTCAATCGTTTCTTTTCCAAACATCCTTCACGATTGATTGTGTTCTCGTTTTCATTCCGGTTCATGTGCATGCTTGCAATGCTGCTCTTGCGTCCAATAATTATTATTATTACTTTGTTATTTAGATTATTATCATTATCATTACTTCTGTTTTGCTTTCGAATGCTTCCTTTTTTATGAGAGCAAATACATTTAGATTTTATTATTTGTCGTTTGGTTCGAATGGGTGATGCAATTTCTAACTGATAATGATGAATAGATAACTGACTCTGTTGTGCTTATAAACACAATGAGATCATAGCTGTTTCGTTGTGTTCCATGCACATTTCTAAGGTTTTGACTCCACTCGGTTGGTTCAAATCGCTGATTTGTTCCGCGTTCAGCAACAATTCCGCATTTTGTTGTTGACGAACGTTGCATGCATAAAGCAAATGAACACTTTCACATATGAATGTTCACCTTTTACACAGCTGAATAATCCTGTTCTTTGCTGCTACTGTTTACAGATCACCTTGTCTATATGTTGATAGCAACAATTTCCATCGTATTGATCACAAACAAATATTGCGCCCGTTATAAGCTATTCTAACTCATAATTATTTCATCTCATGAATATATGATGGATCATGAGAAAAACGGGCATTGTCTGAAAGGATTATGATATAATAGATTGCTGTTATGGTTTCTTATAAGCGGGAATACTTCTCTTTATCAGCCGTTAGATTAATGGTTGCGTTTAAGATGTCACGTAGCTTAGGACAAGATGATAGCGGAATCGAAATGCTTGTGATTAGTAATCGCGTTTAATGATCAAGTAGGCTTTTAACTGTTGCTATGATATTGTTCCGTTGTTAGCGTGGTCATGTATGCTGGACATGTTCTCGGAAATGCGTTATTAAGAGATATTTTGTTGGAATTTCAGTAATCTATTGATCGAGTGCAGCGCTCGTTGAAACGTTACTACCAACTCCAGATGTCACCTCATTAGAACCTGAACTGCCGCAAACGGTGGTTCACCATTCGAGCAGCAGGAAGCAAGCACAATATATTGGCTTTTGGTTGGTTCCATAAGGCCTTTTGCTTTTCTTTTTCATGATGTAGTATGTGTATTCTTATAAGTGTTTTGCAGTCGCGAATAACTCTCCGAAAAGTGGTCAGAGTAATGTGATGAGATTATTTAAATGTGCTCATTCAGCCGCAAAAGCAATGAAGTTATGTGTTTTTTAACTGGCGATTTATTTAGGATACCGGAAAAAATAGAAACGAAGAAGATCTGTGTCAAGAAGGGAAACAACTTATTTGTATCGTCCACATCTGCTCGATAGACGTGGTGTTTGAAAGGAAAACAGTGACTGTATCAAGTAGTACAAATGCTGTATTCACAAGTTGGAATGATTAACAATAGTGCCACTGCACTTCAGTTTGGCGATGTTCACAAAAATAGATCAGTTCATCTGTCCGAACTCTCTTCATTCACGAATCGTCTCTCGAACATGATCACATGGCCGAATTTTTCGGTAATTTCAGTTTTTCATTTTATTCTTTCGAATGATTCCTCTCAGTCGAAGTTTCACAAGTAACCAATCTGTTGTTCATTTGAATTATACTTTAAAAAATCTCTGGGATTTGTTCTGGATCGCTGAAATATGCACTTTAGGGATTGTGTTGTACTGATAAAGATGAATGTTTTGCCGCCTGAAGCTTTCACTGAACTTCAACTTAAACTGCTTTTGAAGTTATTTTACTTCGGTTCTTTGAATATTTTAACTAATTCCTGCTGCTATTTTGCTCTCTGCCATTGAGAAGCAGTTAGTGAGAATTTTGCAAAAAAAGCGCAAGGTGATTGAATTTCGCATTTTGTTTGTTTGTTACGCTTCGTGAATGGATTCGGTGTCTGATTTCTGAGTGTTTTGTGCTCAAGTTTGTTTGTTTTGCTGATGCCACTGTTTGTGGTTTTGGTTGGGACTGTTTGTGATGTTGACTGTGTTGCTGGTGCGAAAGCGACGATTAATAACTTAGTTTATCCACACAATAAATGAAGACGAAAATAACGGTTCAATACAGAGAAGATGGTTGAGTGACGAGAGATGCCGATGATGGCTCATAAAAAACAACCACACTGGATACACGAACAACACACTAACTGACTAATACGGAGGAACTGATATAACTACACTGAGCTACTTATATAGTCATTGAGATTGGCTGATTACGAAACAATGGTTACGAATTGCCAATGATGGTGAGAGAACACATGATATGCAAAGCACTATAGACAGACATACAAGAAACCGTAAACAATAAACAAAAGATCACCGGTTTATCACAACATGATCCTTCAAAGTTGTGGACGAAAATTCTTTTTTTTTCAAAAACAGACAGAAATATTCAGAACTCGACGTGCTCTACGATCGACCAAGTGCAATTTTCATATCTACAGCACTTGTTTACATTGCAGTTTTCATTCAAATTCCAAGTAAATCGCTCAAGAAAAATCATTGAACTGAACTCACAAGTATATATTTTTATCTTAACAACTGCATGTTTTGTATGCTTTACTGCAAACCGAATGCATCACCATTTCACAGCAGCTATGATGCACAAGCATGAATTCAAAATTAGAATTTTGGAATGGTCTCGAAGAATTTAACAGAATCCTACTGAAAACTTCAAATCTTTCAAGAACTGTTTTCGTTTTGAAAAGGCAGCCAAAAAATTGTTATAGTTACTGTGTGCTGGTAAATGTCATCCATTTTAGTTGACCTTGTGAGAATGACGATTGAATTTCATTTGATGAAATTCCAATAGTGCTGAAATATGTCAATCTGGATTGCAGGAAAGAAAGCTGCCGGGATCATGTGCTAGCGGAGAGATACTTATCGAGAACACAGGTGTTGGTGTCTCATCACATCAAGCAGCAACCACGAACACGGCTGCATATCGCATGGATGAAAATTTCAAGCTGGCTTTCCTATTCAACAATAACTACTAAGACGTAAACATCTTCAGATCAGCATTTTGTCAGCTGGAAATGAGCCACAACGGTAAATTGAACCTTCTGCTGTAGTACGACAATATAAGGGGGCGAAGTGACGTCTAACGAACGAATATGATGAGAGGAAATAAAAGCATTCCATATGTATCTCTAGATTCTCTTGGCTGTCATCGAGGTGATAACAAAATATTGCTACTTCTCGAGGAGGGGTGGTTTACTGACAGTTTCGAGCGAAATTCAGTGATCCGAATTGGATGAAAAACCACTGTTGTGTACATTTCTACTACGAGTATATCTTCTTTCTTCGACTATCTCTATTTGGCTTAATTTGTCGGCTCTTTCATAAAATTATTCTTTCTATTATCACTTCATTTCGTTGTTTCACTCAAGATGAAAACAACATCCTTCAATGCTCATTATGATTACCTTTGTGCCTACCATATTTTTTAATTATTATAATTTAAATTTAGTCTACATGTGCACATTGGTCCACCAATTGGATGTGTTGCGTTGTATTTTTTTCGATTGAAATCATTCATCAACTAATTGTCGTAAAACTGATTTTTATGTTAGTAATGATGGTTTAAATGATGATTTAATCATTGTTCAATGATAATTTATTCCTGTGAATTCTGAAAAAAGCAACTTTCAAAATAACCAGTTTCCACGCATCTAATTTCGAAACGTTCTCGTGAACGAATGCGGCCAAGTATGGTCATGCTCATTGCGGGAATCCTGCTGTCTTCTGATTATATTCAATCAGCCGATAATCACAGTTATACAGATTATTTTAATCACATCGGGCTACTATCTACACCCATACACATAACCAACGATTCTGACAGTCATGGCATTCCATAAAATTGTAATACGACCCATTGTCCAGCAGTCAGAGAGTAGCGACAAGGGAAACCTTATCATGTTACCATGCATCATTTCGTGAATTTCATCGAATTAAAGAAGTCATGAGTGCAATCAAAATCATGTAAATCTGTACTATTTTCTATTAAAGTATCTTTCGCTCACAGTTTAATTCAAAGGTAATAGCACCTGTAATAAAACCATCGAAAACGCAAATTTCGCTTTTCCGATGGTTTTATTACAGGTGCTATTACCTTTGAATTCAACTGTGAGCGAAAGATACTGTAATAGAAACTGTAATAGAAAGATACTGTAAACGCACCATATGAATAGTTATTACCTATGAATAGTTATTACGCACCATATGAATAGTTTGACTTATCGAAGTAATCGTGCTCATCGCTGTGAATATGTGAAACAAAATAGACGAAGCATTCAAACGGTCAACGATTATGTAATTCCACTGTTATGCGCTGTGTAGTGTTCAGTGAGCCGAATCATAATATTTTCAACTAAAATCGGCACTGCAAATTCGAGAACATGAGGTTTTGCTTGAGAGCGACAGTAAACGTTCTTTCTTGAGAGAGCAAGCTTGGTGTTGTCTCCGTATGGAGTTACTCACTTCAAAAATATAAATTCAAGGAAACATCGTCGAGCACAGTGGCAACAAACAGCTTGGAAATATTTATTCTGTCGTGTTTGTTGAGTTTCAGTGGTTATCAATATAAGAATATCAGTTGATTTATGATGAAACGAAAATTGTGTTTACAGTATTGACGAATTTAATGAAATCTCTTTCTCGATTTTCTGACCAATTTCGACATGACTCTCTTCGGGCATGGGCAATAGTGCGCATCCTTGCCGGGCGTTCCTGGAGGCCCAGCTGGTCCTGGTTGTCCGTGCTGTCCAGGTGTTCCGGGTATTCCAGGCTGAAATTTAATTGGTCACTTGTATTCTCCTCTTCAGACTATTCGACAGCGCACATCGGACATTCAATTGTTCTATTACCGGAGAGCGTTGCATTCAAAACATCTGAGTTCTTTTACCTCTCCTTGGGGTCCAGTTGTTCCAGGCGAGCCTGGGCGACCGGGATTGCCTGGTGGTCCTTGTTGTCCCTTTTGTCCGGGATTGCCAGGTGGTCCGGGTGGTCCTCGTGGTCCCTTGCTACCGACAGTACCATCCATTCCTGGTGGACCAGGTTCACCTTGCTTTCCATCTGGTCCGGCAGGTCCTGAAATTGACAGACATACTATGCGTTGAAATGAACGCTTTTTGTTCTTTCCGATATTCTTTGACAAAAGTTCCAGAAAGATTTAGCCAAATTGAGAGTGACACAACGAAAAAGTTCTAACCGATTGGTCCCATTGGTCCTGGAGGTCCGTTTTGACCTGGGCGACCATCCATTCCTGGAATTCCAGGAGGTCCTTTCTCGCCTTGTGGACCAATTTGTCCAGGTGGTCCAGGTGGTCCAGCTGGTCCCGGTGGGCATTGCTTGCATCCAGTTGCAGGTGTGAAATCGAGTGGTGGAACGATTCCTGGCACGCCCGGTGGTCCTGAAACAGTCTGACTTCGTCTGGAAGTGCAGTTGCATTTCGATATATGAATAATACTATTCACTCAATGAAAATCACTCGGCTGATGTTATTGATCCACAAATCAGGTTACCTGTTATTCGCAGATGATCAATTAATACTTACCTCGAGCTCCCGGCTTTCCAGGTGCACCTGGATGGCCAGGTTTTCCAGGTTTTCCTGGTGGCCCAGGTGGGCATCGGTCAACTGAGTCGCAGTTGCACACTGGCTCAACACCGCGTTCTTTACGTGCTCGTGGTACATTCTGACGAGTGTGCATCATCTCACCCCATACTTCTTGTTCCAACACCTTCAATTTTTCGTTACCATTGATCACACCTGTCATTACTTTTCCATTTGTACCTACCCAATCCTGCTCGTATTCTCATTAAAACTGAAGGTGAATTGCTGTTGACTTCGCAAAAAAATTATACTTCTAGGTCCATCCGTTGAAAAAAGAACTGATGTTCCCATGTCATTGCATTTTTGTTGACATGCACGATTTTCAATTTCAGTCAGAAGATCAACATAGTCGTGAAAAAAAAAATTCTTCTAATCGATTTCACTGGAAAATCAAATCCTGACTGCTAATTTTTTGTCCCTATTCGAACGAAATTAGGAACTGAATTCCGTTCGTACACAGTTAGGGATGAGGTCAATTATTGCTAAATTCGAGAACGTTCACAGTTGTATGTATCAAGAGGCGGAGGTTTATGACAATCTTAAAAAATTGTAAATATAGATAAAATTGATGGAACTAAAATTCAATTATGGTGATGTGAAAATGATAAATAAAAATGAGCGTATCTACCTTGAATTGATCCATTTTCACCGAAAGACCATCACGAATCTGATCCATACGATTCATGAGGTACGGTACGAAAAAGAAGCATGTTGCAATCGCGATCACTGAAACACAACTCGAAATATGCGCAAGTGATTCAGTCATTTTGATGAAGACTGCCATCAGGTTCCGTTCTGAGTCCCTTTTATACTCACATTCTTTGTTCACTGCATCTTTCTAGTTACATTGCTTCAACTCTGTCACCATTAAATCTTGTAGAGAATGTAGGAGATCATTTGTGTGTTATAAAGAAAGTATTTGAAGGACACATCAATTGTCACAATGAAAACGGTGAGAATTTTAGTGTTAATTTCATCAATATCGTTTGGTACACTGAATTCATGAGCAAAGAGACAACGAAATGGCTAATTAGAAGAAACGAAGTAAAGACAGCATGCTATTTGAAGTGGGAAATTGATAAAACCGGTTGTCGAGGGCGCGGAACCGCGAACTCTACTCCGTCAACCTGGAATACTACTCTCAAAGCTGTGAATTTCCTTAGTATTTATACAGCAAGAAAATTATTTATCGCTAGCGTGAAAATTCCTTCAATGAAAATGAAACCTAAGTAAAATGAAAAATTATCTGACGCTACCCATGAATACACATATGATTGCTGCTTGCACCAAAAATGAAATCTCAGAAGAATATAGTGAGATTACATTCAATTGACCTGTATGTTCAGCTTCGCTGTTCATCACGTGAAACTTACACCTCAACGGATTCAGCAGATTATCCTCCAATATCAGAAAAAAAAAAGAATTGTTGAATGATTGTCAAATGTTATTGCTTACTTTCTGGGACTCAACTAAATTTTCGACGATCAGTCCGTACAGCTGTTGATCAACAATACATTGCTAAAGGAGTATCATTCTCAAATGAACTGTATGCAAAAGTCTCCATCAAATCCAATGATTTCTGTCCATCGTCGGATTCAGCAGATTGGGAAAATGAGAAGGGCATATATGTTGCCAACGGTCAAGCCTTACTTTGGGAGATTTACTTCAGGGGATATGGCTATTTTCTTATAGCTACCTTAACTAGTGCAGTAACGCTCACTCATATGTATCAATAGACCGTAATCTCAAGTTTGCCCAGTAGTATATGAATATTTGTACACCATTCGATAACGCGGAATCACTGCAATCAGAAAAATATATATTTTGCCAAGTAATTTTGCTTTCTTGAGGAGATATAGCTATTTTTCCAAAGCCATCTCAATTAGCGTAGAGCCGCCCATTCAGATACATTGTATCACTATTGATCAGTGTATACATTACTATAGCGTTACAGTGGTTGCAACCTTCAAACTGCCGGTGCCCTCAGGTTTGCCCAGTAACATGTGAATTTCTCTGCACCATTCAATTGCTCAGAATCTCTACTTTCAGAATATCATATATTTTGCCGAGCAATCATCATTAGATGAGGAGATATAGATATTTTCTCAATTATATGCGGTTTGATATCTTCGAGCCTACCGTATCCTCAGGTTTGCCGAACAACATATAAATATTTGTCCACCACTCGATCCAACGCAATCTCTAGATTCAGAAAAACATATACATTGCTGAGCACTTATTCTTTCTTGAGAACATATGGCTATTTTCCCAATGCTATACGGTTTCCCATCATTGGGCCTACCATAATCTCTGTTCATATACTACTGATCACTGTAGATAAATATATATGTCAAACTAGGTTTGAGGGGGTAACCATCTTCAAGGTACCTATGCCCTCAAGCTTGCCCCGTAAAAATTGAATATCTTTGCACCATTCGATTGCTCAGAATCTCTACTTTCAGAATATCATACGTTTTGTCGAGCAATTATCATTAAGTGAGGAGATATAGCTATTTTCTAAATGAAATACGATTTTCCATCATCGAGCCTACCGTATCCTCAAGTTTGACCGATACCATAGGAATATTTGTACACCAATCGCTCCAGCGGAATCTCTAGATTTCAAAAAAAAAATTTTGCCGGGCGATTTTGCTTTCTTGAGGAGATATAGCTATTTTCTCGAATCTATCTTAATTACCGCAGTCGCGCTCATTTATATACATTATATCACTATAAATTAATAAATACATTATTATAGCTCTATAAAGGTTACCATCTTCAAGCTACCGGTACTACCAGTTTTGCCCAGTAAAATATCAATTTCTCTACACTATCCGATTCCATGGAACCTCTAGATTCAGAATATCATATATTTTGCTGAGCAGTTCTGCCTACTTGAGGAGATACAGCTGTTTTCTTAAAGCTATCTCAACTGGCATGGTGGCGCGATTCATATACATTGATCGGTATAGATCAATCTGTACGTTGCTATAGCACTGTAGAGGTTGTCATCTTCGAGTTAGCCGTACTCTCAGATTTGCCCAGTAAAATATCAATTTCTTTACACCATTCGATGCAGTGGAACCTCTAAATTCAGAAAAACATTATCATTGCTGAGCAATTTTGCCTACTTGAGGAGATATTGCTATTTCTTTGATGCTATCTCAAAACCATTGGGGTCACCATCTTCAAGCATACCGTACGGAGATCATCTTGAGAGACGACAAACTCGCACAATAACATGAATTTGATGACTAATGCTTGGTGGCCTCCAAATGAACGTAATTATTCTGCAACGATGTCTATCGAAAAATGAAAATGATGATCATACCAAGGATACCAATTGAAGCAGCATGAATGGTGAGTCTAAATTAGCTATCGTCAGTTAACAGGAAATCTCTGAGACGGCGAATGAAGGATCGCATTTGAGCAGAATCGACAATCATTTAACCACTCTACAATGCTCGAATATAGTCAACGTCTTTTCCATTCGCAGATTTTGGATGCTGCCAAAGAATATGGTGATGATATTGCAATGGTTCGTTTCTAACTGTGTTTGTTTGCGATGATTGCTCGGAGTGATACCTTCCCCTAACTCGATTCGACACAGGAACATTTGGACGAGAAAATTTGCTTCCAGAAACATTTGGACGAGAAATTTCTCTGATGTTTGATACCAGGCATGGATCCTGAATAAGTAGATCCGTTTCCTAGGCAAATCGAAGGAGTTTGAGCCACACCAACATTGACTTTGATTCATGCATTTATTCACCAGTTGCGCTTAAATTATTCACCCGCTAAAATGTGATCAGAGTTTGAAGGTTTCACATGAATCAAAACGCTCAGGAAAGTGAAGTTCGATGAAAGATGCTGGAAGCACAGTTTTTACGAATAATTCAGTGATCAATTTGATGTGCCGATGACATTTTTAACATTTCAGACGGATCATGAAACGGATGTGAGTATCACCTATGCGAAACTGCGTGATGACTCGTTTAGATTCGCTAATTGGCTGGAAAATCACGGTGCTCGGAAAGGTGACATAATATGCGTGATGCTTGCGAATTGTTCGGAATACGCGATTGCTTTTCTTGGTGCAGCTCTTGTTGGCAGTGCAATATCAGGCATAAGTCCTGAATCAACGCAAGGTCCAGTTGCCTTTCAAGATAATCGTTTTGTATATCTCTGTTATCCTTAAGAACGGAATACAACCGAACTGAACTCCATCCTACCGCTTAGAAGAAGCGTTTAGTGGTTAATGTTTTTGAACGAAGAAATGAGAGAATATGAGCGTGCAGTCAGTCATTCCAACTGCAACTATGGATCAGGCGTGCAAGATGGATGCCTTTAAGATGAATTTTCAGCTGAAGTTAAGCATTTTTTATCAGTCACAAACGCAAAATTCCTCGTTTCGGCAGCTGAACGCTACGATGTTGCTACACTCTTCGAGGATCGACTCACTGTAAGAAAACCTCCTTTCACATATTTTTAAGGAAATCATACCGGTCTGGGTAGTTTTTTCTTGAAATTGACATTGAAAGAGCTTATATGTCACGTTTTTTTAGAAACGCTTCGAGCATAAGTGTCTATGCAAATTAAACTATAGGTGATCATTGTCGGCAAAGAAATTGATCAAGATGGGCACGACTTTGCGACTGAAATACGGCAATCAAAATTGGACTATTCGATCGAGGTTCAGCATAAACTTTCAGTCGATGATACATTGATAACACCATTTAGTAGCGGTACGACAGGACCACCGAAATGTGTTCAGCTCACTCACCGTAACTACAACGCCTCAACTGCAATTCTTCGAAAGTTGCAAAAATTTTTTTTCTCTTCACCAATTTGAAGCCGTTTCTTGCTTGATAAGCTTAATGTCTGCATGTTTTCGTTACACTCTATCTTGCGCTAATCTTCATGATATTTATCGCAACAATGTCGGAAATGTTTGTGCTGGAAGACTCACGGCATACAATGCTATTCTTTAAAGAAAGCATGCTAAATAAAAGCATAACTATTACTGAATTTCTCTCATCTTTGCTTTGTAGAGCTCTTTTCGACGAACTCTCTGGTGGACTGCGCCGTGTAACTGCTGCCGTACTACCATTTTTTCATGGATCTGGCTTTTGGGCGCTGTGCTTCTGCCTTCTGGAAGGACACCGAGTTGTAACCTTAAAACACTTCCATCCGATGATGATGCTTCAAATTATTGACCAATACAAGGTGATGTTTTATTTGTTAAGTTTCAGATTCGGCAAAAGTTCATGTTCGGAATTCTGTTCGGCGAAAGAATCAAAATTTTTGACACTTAAGCGAATCTTCACGTTGAGGATATTAGAGAGGAAATATCAATCGGAATGATATCAGGTTGCTTAGCGATTTTGAAACAAACGAGCCTGTATAATGAGCCTCCGAAGTGCGTATAATGGATGGCATTAGTGAAAGAGTAGAAACTCTCCGTTGAATGCGATATGAAATTAAGTGAATCGTTCAGGTGGATACGTTTAACGTGGTGCCAACAATAATCCGTTATCTATGTGAATGCGGTGAGCAATTCTCCAAATGGGATGTTTCATCAATGCGAACAGTTCTTTGTGGAAGTGCTGCACTTGGCAAACAAATTAGTAGACGATTCCTGAATAAATATCCGAACGTAGAAAATCTAGTTCAAGGTGTTCGTTCAGTTTTAGAACACTTCGCATTTATAAGTTGTGTTGGACTCATTGAATTGACGAATTGATTGCTGAATAAATCAGCGAGAAGTTTATCATTGAATGTTCCGATGTGCTAATTGATTTAAACATATTGTATTATTTGGACTGTACAGCGAACATATTCTCGTGTAACGATATGAGCTTTTGGGCACTGAAACCATCAGGAAATGAAACAAATTTTGAAGATCATCGCAAAACACAAGTTCAGAATGAACGATAACAATTGCAGGCTATGGTATGACTGAATTGGTCGTTCTTAGTCATCTCACACCACTTGGCACTCCATTTGATGATAAGTATTTGGGTAGTTGCGGCAAGCTACTACCTGGATTTGAGGCTAAAGTAGAATTTTTCTTCAGTTTTTTATCAACATTATCTCGCCCAGATCTACTCAATTCAGTTTAGATGACAAGAAGAATTTACCTATGTAATATTTTTGGTAGTTAAGATATCATCATTTATTGAGATGCTTATCGATAGAAAGTTTACTCTTCCAATTGGTCTTCCAACCCACATTGAACGTGTTTCAGTTGATCAGTGACGAAAACGGTGACGAGATAAAAGAATCAGGCAAATGTGGTGAGCTTCTCGTGAGATCCGAGGCTATTATGAAGGGATATCTGCGTGATGATGATGCCACAAAAAATGCCATCGATGCAGACAATTGGCTGCATACAGGTTCGACAGTGAAACATTCCAAGCATGCTCAAAGTGATCATTAGCATGCTCAAAGTGATCTGTCTGATTTCGGTCTTTTTGATCGCACGTACTAAATCAGACCTGCCTATCATAATCTAACAAAACTTGAAGATTGATCTAGTTTTAGTGTTGTGACGTCCAATCAGAATATGATGGAGTTAATATGATATGATTCAGGTGATTATGTGTATTACGACGATGAAGGATTTTACTATATTGTGGATCGAATTAAGGACTTGATCAAAGTAAACGGTCTTCAAGTTTCACCTTCCGAGATGGTGCATTTTACTACATCGATTGAGCATTCACTCATTGTGATACAAATACATATCATCAACTACTTTACGCAAATAAAATTATCACAAATTTTAGTGTTAGCCAAAAATTCTGTTATGATTGATTATTAAGGATGAAATTATTTCACAGATGTGACATTCAGGAAGATTTATTGATGTCACATCCAAATATCAAAGATGCAGCAGTGACTGGTATCGCTGATGAACATTTCGGAGAGGTGAATATCTTAGCATCATCATGCTAAAACACCATTGCATCAAGCATTTTTCAATGTCTTTCCAACCACGACATTCTATTCGTATGAAGTGTTGACCTTTACCAGTGCCACTGATCTACCAGAAGAAATGTTTATGGGTGATGTTATCGTTATTTCTTAAGGTACCAATGGCGTTTGTTGTGCTCAAAGATCCATCAGGTGTTAACTCTACACCAGCAGACATCGATAACTTTGTAAAAAGTAAGTATACGTTTCCATCACTTTTCATACATAGCGATCGAAGCATAAACTAGAGTCGGGTGATCTGATGAGTTTCGAATCTGCTTATATTCTATCCCGGCTATTAAGAAATACCGACATAACTGGAAGATGTGATAGGAGGATAAAAGAGGATATCTGATCAGATATGAGAGATGAAAGTAATGGTTCTGTGGTGTATTGGTGTGAACATCGTACTAACTAATTTAGTAGGACGAAGGTCGAATGTTCGATCCCACGCGGGTCCAATATCATTGTTGAATTAACTTGTGAAGGTAACATCATCGTATGTAGAAAAACACGAGAGCTCATTCTTTATCTAAAAATTAGCTGACCGAATAGGAAATGGTGAGACTGCATAAAATGTTCGAATAATATTGCCGGCTATCTTCAATGGATGTTTAGAAGACTTTTTTGCTGAGAATACCTTTGCTGAGATACTCTAATTTCGTTCACATTTCATTCACCTTCAGCTCCATCGTTTCCCGTATCAATCTTACACCGGTTTTTTCTTCAATACTGATTTGCATCATGATATTAACTTCTTCCCAATTTCAGATCAGGTTTCATCACATAAACAATTGCGAGGCGGTGTTCATATTTGTGAGATTCTACCGAAAACACGAAGTGGTAAAACTCTTCGAAAAAAACTGAAGAGCAATGAAATTAACTTGAACTCATTATTGAGTGAAATTGAGTGAACTCATTATTCTTATGTTTCTGAATGACGAAATTCAAAGTTATCGTGTATAATGTGTTAGTTAATCCATATGAGGATCTAAAATTCTCTGAATGATGCTTATCCCAGGTGTTCAGAGCTGTTTGATCCGCTTGACACATTCACCTGCAATTTCGTTTAATTCACTTCAATACAAGTCCAGTTCATCTCTGATAGTGAATAAATTATTCCTTTAACGATTTGAACGCGATTTCGGATTATTGGATGAATCTTCAGCTGGCTTGTTGTCTTATCATATCACGTATAATGTCGCAAAACTTACAATGTGTTATTGAAATAAACAAGTGAAAACGACAAAGTTCTAGTGATGGGTTGTTCTTTATTTATTACGGACAATTTAGGAGAATTTATTTCGTGAAATTTTATTGTTTTTGTATTGTGGTTTTGCCATCAGTGGACTGGTGATCTTTATATCAATTGCTCGAATATTAATGATAATAGATCAGAGGAGAACAGTTGACTGGATAGAGTGTGATTTAATGCTCGAGTTTGATGACATAAGTTGAAAAGTCTAAATATTCGCTCGTAAATTAATCAGTCAAGGATCGTAAGAAGTGAACTCTTAACATCTCGTTTCAATTCAGTTCGAATCAGCTTCAGTTATTCTAAGTGGTGCGTTGCTGCATTTTGTCATGTTGAAAATGCAAGCTTTAAACTCAGTAAACTGACTGCATCAGTACTCTCGGATTAAACTGCTTATACCAATAAACACCTCACTCTTAGCGTCCTTTTAGTGCTTTCATCCTACATTACAGCAATCACGTTCTCCTCACCAGTTAAACGTGGATTTTGCAATAGTGTTCGTTGTTTCTCTCATGTTCTTCGTCTGGACGATTCAGTAATACACTTGGTTTTATAGAATTTACAAACTGATGTAAATCATGACAGATATATTGACTAAACTTCTGCTTTATTTCAGTTTACATACTGTCGAGAGCTGTTTGATGTTACCCACATTGTTGTTCATAATGCTCTTCCAGTCCTTATTAATTTTCCAATCTTATCTTTTGACTCGAGAAACTCTTGTATCTATTGACAGATCTTACCTATATTAGATAGAAAAAGTTTGATAATGCGTTGTGAGGACAGGGAGGGATGATGGTATCTATCAAACAAACAGCAGGTATCGCTAAGAGAGGATGATGACCCTTGAGCACGCAAACAATCAACATTTACATACTTGTTACTCTCGAATGACCATTAATAATAAAGCCAGAACGAAGATGATCTGACCCGATCGCACATGCAAACTATTCAAATTCTTTTCTCTTCCTCATCATCAATTCTTTTTCTTCATTCCGTAGCCTAGGTCGCTTTATTAGATATTGTCATTGAACGGTGTTACTTCCCTTTGTTACTTTACTGTCGTTCAATTAGTCTGGTGGATTATTTGTGTTATTTGAATGGTGTATTCAATAGAATCGATTCAGCTCTGTCTGATACAATACACTGCATTGTTGTTGTTGATTCTTAAATTTGCATGAATTGATGATATCGCTTGCAAGATTATGTCAATGTTTCATTCATGGTGAGGAAATATTCAAAACCCAATCGCAATTTCGGATGAATCTGATAAGGATCCATCAAAAATCAATGTGGAGATGATCAATCGATCAATTTTCATGAGAGCTGAGTGATCTGCAAGGGAGAAATAACGATTGTCACATTGTTGCGGAATGTTTTATGTGTATTTATTTTTGTTCGCTATAAAATTCAACTTGAGTTTAGCTATCTGCAGATGTGATGGGACCTGGAAATGAAGAATATGTTCATGGCTTGTACTATCCGCCGTCATGTTCACTGAAATCGTACCGCTTGTTAAGTACTTCTTCACTGAATCGAATTTTTGCCGTTGAGCCATGTCTGCTTGAAGTATGTTTTAGCTTAAGTCTGAACTGTCGTTACCATAAAATACTAGTGCTGCTGCTGTTGCTGACCAGCAGTCATGAGTAGTATATTGGTGCATGAACAGCTCTTAGTTACTTCTTTGATTTGCTCATGCTGAGTGTTACGCACATGACAGTTAAGATAATGCTGCGAGTGGAGGTGATCAAATATGATCGTTTCAATGGTCCTTCTCAGAGCATTATCTTACAATAAACCTCTACTTTCACCAATTTCAGGAATTTGTAATTCCAGTGAAATCGAAATTCGGTGTCGATATACGTCGAATTGGTTTGCATTTGGGCGCTGGTCGTCCTCTACCGTCGTTTAATGATTTTTATTCGTTACTGTGTAACTTGCATCACCTAAGTGATGTTATCGGTTGCGGTCTATCGATCAGCTATGCTTCATCTGAAGGTGATCGCTTGCCGATATCAAATGATCAGGTACCATAACTCACTCTATCAAGTGATCAGCAACTAATCCGTAACAGCTGTTTCGTTCGCATTTATTTGCTCTTTATATCTCCTTGAATTTTCCCATTTCGAATAAGCGTCACAACTTCTTCATGAACTACCTATTTCGTGCTCTTAATAAAACACTCCTGAAAGAGATTTGTTACGAGTGATAATAATACTTTTCCGTCATTCTAGTTTCCATTTCCTATCATCAGTACTGCAGTCTTCCGTTTTCAGTGCAACATTGCTGTGACTCTCCATCTTCGATTCATAACTGAACTAAGAATATTAACAAGAATGGTTCTGAGACAACTTGTTATAAAGGTTAATAAATCTTTGTTGCAATTGCAGAACCTAAGGAAAGCTCTTGAAGAAAAACCGAAAATATTACGATTGACTCTGCAAAAGAAAGGTGAATCACTGGAGGAGCAATACGGTTACGGTGTACCAATTATAAATTATATGAGGAAGAAAAAACGCATTTCCATATCGAATCCGCAAGATTTCAGACGGGTAAGTGAAAAGAACTCACGTAAAGATAAATAATTTAATCTTCTGCAGTTTTCACATATTCCACAACAAAACATACTTTCAGTGAATTTTTTTCGGAAAATGGAGGAGTTTCTAAATTTTCGAAAATGATCAATTTTTGATGAATATTTGATGTCCAAATTTTTGAAACTGTATGTTTTTGTTGTATTTTTACGGTGTTGGTTCCTCAGAAGTTATATAGAAACCTTCAAAATTATTTAGTTCCTAGATTCGGAGCAAAAAGCATCGATAAATTTGTGTTTGCGTTGGAACAAGAATTTTAGATCGTTTGTTCCATAAATTATCCACTCGCTCAATAGATTACTTGTCGTGTAATGTGAATGCAATTTGTTGATCTCAAGTCAGTCAGCAATAACGTATTTTGTAGGTATCATCAATAGTTGATGTTGACATACTACCGCAAGGGTATCGGCGAGTGAAGCTTTGCAAATATTATACCAACAAACCACTTGGATTTTACATTCGCAATGGTCATTCAGATTTATTATCCAATTAAAAGAGCTATGAGTTTTATACACTAGAATAGTGGTGCTTCGACTTAAATCCAAGCAATATTGCACTCAAATGATATATCAAATATTAAGTAGCACGTCCAGTAATTTTCATCAATGAGGCTGAAGTCCATCATTTTCCTATATTCGGAAACTAGTACTGAGCAAAAAGCATCCTTATGTGTTTGCGTTGGAACAAGAATTTTAGATCGTTTTTTCCAAAAAAATGATCATAAAATGGAAAACGAATGTCACTTTCGTTATCTGCGCAAAAGACTGTAATAGAAACCGAAATCCGTTTCATAATGAAAATTGTTTGTTAGACAGTGTGATTATTGTGATATGCTCGGTAATTTAAATGAGTTGAATTGATAATTCTTCCTTTAGGCAATAAGTAGTTTCTGTGCAGGGATGCCAAAATGATTTTGTCATGTTTGCGATGTAAACTTCGATGATTTTCACGTTAACATCCTTGTAAATCATTAGCATACTGCAAAGGTATATTGTGCGTATGCAGGTACGACACAGAGGTTAGCTCCGTGGGGCGTTGTAACGGTGAATGGAATATTTATAAGTCGATTACTACCAACTGGACTTGCCGCATCAACGAATTTATTGGCTGTGAATGACGAGATTATTGAAGTGAATGGGATTGAGGTCGGTTGAAGAAATCTCTTATAGTTTTTTATGTCGATTCCTATTTCTGTCGTGATTTATGAGCCATTCACACAGCCCCGAACACTTCATATCTAATCACAGCTCATTTCTGTTCATGCATAAGGCATGTTATAGCTTGTATCAAGAAAAATTGACCCATTATCCTATTATAATGTTCCAATAATTGTTTTGATTTGACCTGCTCGTCTAAATCGAGATATTGGATGCTATGTTTCATATATTGTGCATCTGAACACACAACGTATGGTTAAACAAATCACCCGTTCTCTTCATAAAACCTAATAATCATAATTGTAGGTTGCTGGCAAAACATTGGATCAGGTTACGGATATGATGATTGTTAACGCCTACAACTTAGTGTTAACAGTTAAGCCAGCTATCGAACAGCACACATTGCGGTTCAGTCAACAACCGCCTTTATTGTCGCCACCAAATTATGAATGTTTATCATTCCCAAATCAACCGCTTAGGTATCAGTCTTGTTTTATCGTTTACGTCTTATCTTAAGTAACACATTCCTCTTAATCACAGCACAACGTTCAGTCTTCACGATCATTATGTTGATTATTTCGAGCTCAAAACGCCAACTAATGATGCAGTTAGAAGCGTGAACATTACGTCGTTAGGACTTGTTTTGACAAGCACCTTTCTATTCTGATCCATTCTGATCTCTATTTGAGGCTGTTAATCATTTGGATGAAACATAATTAGTGTGCTTATTCAACAAACTCTTAAAATTGTTACCAAACATTGATTTTGGACAGCGTGATTTCAAAATAGCAATTTAGATTTGGCGAGCGGACACGTGACTATCGTGAGAAAGCCTCGTACTGATTTTTTAACAGTTTTGGTTCCTTTGAATGATGCTCTTTCGAAATGTTTAATAAGCTCTGCACAATGCACGTAACAATTCGCAATCCAGTGACTTCAGCGAATGTTGTTTTCTTGGTCATTCCCTGTGGACATTATAAACGAATAATAATTTCACGCTCACGCCTCGTACAATCATGGAATGCAAGTGATTTTCAGATCTCCATCTACACTGCACCCTTCTCCTTGTCATCCTCCTCGCGGGTTACCATCATCGCCGACAAGTGCCGCCATTCGATCATTCTCACGTACGAGTACATGGCGATTATCAGATAAGCTCCATCTATCCGTTCTTCGGTCGCCATTCTCGCGTTCATCAAACAACAAATTTGGTACTCATCTCCGAGCCAACAATAGCTCAACTCATACTCCCAATAATAACAATTATTCTAGCAGCAACGCCTTCGATATAAGCAAAAAGAACTACACCAACAACAGTACTCGACGTCCGATAAGTGTACATTTTGGTGCGATCTCACTACTTCAACCAAAATTTAAAATCACTGCATTCTGATCTGCAAATGGTACTGTTATACCAGTTGCTAAGATACTAAACACCACAGTATTATCGCTTTTTTTGCCTTCCACTTTGGATGTTGCTAAATCTTTATCATGACTGTTTGTCGTTTTTTACTAAAACTGATCAGTGCTCGTAGCACAAATGTTCCTAATGTATCATAAAATCTTCCGTCCATGTATTTCATTCATACATATGGTATATTCTATGATCGAATCACAATGAATCTGGAATATATCAATGCGACTATGAAAGTGAAGAGCGATCTAGCCGGGCGCACACACACACACACACACACACACACACACACACACACTGGAGCTCAATACGTGCAACTGGGAAATTATTTATATCAGGAAGTATTAATTTCATAGTATTTTAATTATCACGCATACAATAAAATGAGTTGGTAGTAATATATTACGTGCAACTACGACACCATATTTTCTGCACAAACTACGTTGCAGTTAGATGGTGAAAAGCACAACAACAAAGACATTTTACAACAATTACAATAAAAGAAACGCGAGGATTTACATTTCGAACGTTTCACGCGACTAAGAGTTACATTCAGAACTCAGAAGCTTCTCAGTTTTGACATCACACCTGTTCAGCTCAGATAATTTTCAAGTTCGCTTTTGCCCTCAAAGATCATTTACGTGTCTCTTATTAGATGAGCAATAAGCGAACCTCCTGAATCATAAGGAGTTTGGATAGTGCTTCTAAAACCGATCACATAGAAATGAGAACGCACCAAAGGAATAAACACGTCGGACTAACCAGCTATTGATAATGAAATCATAACGACCAAATATTGGTAATAAAACCAGTAAGATCAAGAGTACGATCGGAATACTATCTGTTGAAATGTTTGTAATAATATTGGTGTATATATTTATTGGAATACAGTTCTTGAACTTTTAATAATACGCAACAATTCAGGAGAATATTCGTTGAAGAAAACGTCAAATAAAAAATTTTCAGCACTAATATTTTCCAGCAAAAAAGAGTAAATTTTCGCAAACAATGTTTCAGCAAGAAACAATAATGAAAATGTCACGAGATAGAAATATTCACGTGCATATTCATGACTCTCGATAAGTAATACGAATATCAAAACATCAGTAGTAATAAATGAATATCAAGACGGTATTAACAAAAACGAAATGAGACCATTTTGCACAATTCCTCGTTCTGAAATATCCGATAATGTATAATAATCACAATAGTCGCTTGCATTCGGCTCTGATCTCTCCTCTCTTCGCTGACAATGAATGCGTCATGAGAATGCTCTTTACGACAAATACCAGTTCGATTCATTTATTAACAGCTTGATAGAACCATTCGCACTTTTCACCTGCACTCATATTATGATTATCGGATGGAGCACTGAAGTTGAACTGAAGCGCGATACAGTCACCATAGTGAACATGCTTTCATCAGATCAGTCATCGATGACAATCGAAACAAACTTTACGATCAAATGGAACGAATTCTCATTGATTATTAACAGCGCTGAACACGTTCACTCCGTCTTTAACCACTCAAAAATTAATTCAGCAAACGTCAATTGGATTGATTGGATTTGAAAGTTATATCCCATTTATGAGGATCACCAACGAGTGAAAAATACAATTTTGATTATCACAAAATCGGAATGATCATGACCAGCGATAAATGCAACATGTTGAATGAGATGCAGTTGAAGTGTCAAGAAAGTTGATACAACTATCAATACGTGAATTAAACGTGTAATCAATCACCAATTCACTCAGTTAATCTTTGTATTCATTCATCGAAACGGCAGACATACAACATCAATAAACAAATTTTCAAAATGCCGAACTACCAAACGGCACATTTTTGAACGGGATTCATCGGCGTTCCTGGTGCGCAATGGTATGCATCCGCGAATTCAATGCGATTTCTCAACGGCACTATTGCACGATATTTACTCGGTGCATGCACATCAGTCATTATCAACTGCACATAATGCTTCGGTCTCACCAATGAGCACCAGTTCTGAAATATTCACAACTTTTTATTCGATACTGTCGGCTACAACTTGAAGGATCATGTTGTGATAAACCGGTGATCTTTTGTTTATTGTTTACGGTTTCTTGTATGTCTGTCTATAGTGCTTTGCATATCATGTGTTCTCTCACCATCA